GTCAATAATGATGAGAAGAAGAACGTAGTGCTGAGCACCGACCACAAAGATCGTCGTTCAGTATTTAATTGTGTTTCCGACATTAGTTCTTTTTCCGGTGAGCAAATCTTTTTTCGGCAGCAGTTAGTTTAGGGTTTTATATTTTCTAATTCATAGATTTATAAAGTTGTACGTCAAGATAGATTTTTGGTTTCTGTTAAGTTTAAACTTCTGGATAATTAGCATCCTAAAAAAAACCTTTAAGCCCTACTTTCTTTACAACGTCAGGCCGTCACCACCGGACACCACCATTCCCGTCACCGCTGCCCCTGCTATGTGCAGCCCCCCGATCTTCGTGACAACCGTTAAAACCGCAACAGTCGATGCTGAAGGCCATCCCTTAACTCATGCATATAGTCAGGTTTTGTCGTCACAGCCTTTATCTATTTCACGTCTTTTATTTGGCTATACGTAAAAATTTGTAATAATAAAGAGCAATGATGCTTCTACAGTTCTACCCAATATCCAAATAGGATACGCTAGATATGACTATGAGAACTCTTATCTTAGTTTGTTGTTATGTTTATTTGTATATATATCATGTGAACTTGTTAATTATTGCTTTGGACTCTTAAATCTGTAATACAAAATATCTAAAATGTCGTAAATAAATAGATATTCTTGTTCATTAGTTACACCATCAATCTTAGTTGATGAACATCTGGTGCACCCATTTACAATAAACATGAATATATATATATATATATATATATATATATATATATATATATATATATATATATATATATATATATATATATTGACAAGAATTCTAAACTTATTCAAACAGAGAAGAATTTTAATTGCACCCTATTACAACTGACTTTTATATTGTTGGAAAAATGCAGATGACAGATTATCTATGCGAAGAGTTGATTGTTGAAATATTTACAAGACTACCACCGAAATCCCTCCTCCGATTTAGATCACTCTCTAAATCGTTATATACTTGTACTTCTAGTCCCCAGTTCATACTCTTGCAAACATTTCGATCCCCACAAAAAATCCGCTTCACGCATGAAAATATTGACAATAATAAAATAGTAGAAGTCGTTTATACATTACACGGAGAAGACGAATTGCCATTGTGTTTGTGTCCCAAATGCGGATATATTGGTATAACAACAACAATTTCGTTTCCTTGTAGCAATAGGTTCAGAACTGTTGGTTCATGTAATGGAACTTTCTGTTTGAAGACTAAAATTGGTTTGACTCTATGGAACCCTTCAATCAGACGCAAAGTAAGAGTGCCTGAATGTCCTCGGAGTTCTGAACTCGCTTTGGGAGGTATTGGGTTTGGATTTGACCCAATCAGTGATGATTACAAAATTGTTTGGATATCATATGAAAAAGACACTTCATTTGTTTATGCGGTGAAGACGGGCACTTGGTGTGAGATTGCTTCCCCTAAACCTGTGTTTACTTATGTGCGACGTGAGGCCTTTTTATTCAAAGGAGTATTGCATTGGGAGGTAAATCATTTTGACTTAGACTTTTCTTGTATACTGACATTCGATTTGAGCACTCATGTTTTTGGTATGATTCCATTTCCTGGATCGGCTCTGGAATGGTTGACAACAAGACTAACAACCATTCAAAATTCTCTAGCTTTGATTTGTTATCGCATGAATATTGATGATAGTTGGATTCTGGTATGGAGAGATGCTTCTTGGTCTGTGGCTTTTAAATTGGGAAAAATTTTGTGTGTTTGACGCATTTTGATTACCATTTTAGTCTTTATCATTGATACAAAAGAGTTGATGTTACTGATTCCTTCATTCTATTAATAAAAAACCGAATATGTAATTTCCCACTTCTTTGCCAATAAAATGAGAGCTTATTGAGGCTGTTTTAATGGCTAGACTTTATATAAATTGAACTTCAAGAAGCAGGAATTACATTGTACAATAAAGAAGGTTGTTGGCACATGAGTTCCATATCAAATTCCTACACCATTTAGCTTTATTTTTAAGCCATAAAATGCTCAAAGTCTTGACCTCATAACTTAGAGTAGACAATATCTTCACTTTGCTATTGCAAATATACCGTGCCTACACGTCTATATGGTCAATAATAGCACCCTTGAAATCGCTTCAAAAATATATTAAGACCTGTTTTCACACCATAAGTAGAGTTTTCCCACACCATAAGTAGATTTTATCCCTAGGAAGGCATCAAAGAAGTCGTTCAGTATAGGTGTCCATGAAAGAATTGCAAAGCGGACACATGGTGCATGCGATGATTACCCCCTATGTGCGAGGTTGAACCTGGTGGACAATCTACCGAGTCTCAACCGCTAAATGAGGACATTTATTTTTTCGGAAACTATCTTAGACCAATGAGGCAAAGTTGTTCATTGTCAATGGTCAAAAGGTAATAAAATTATGTTGCATTTGTTATAATAATGTCTTTTTGTCATCTTGATTCTACGGGCCGTTGGCCCTAATGATTTCTAAAGTATTGTGGAAACAATTGTTTTTTTTGCTACCTGTATTCTTGTAAATTAAATTACCAAATGACTTCTAGTCCAGCGGTATCCGGTATTCCCTCCCTCCTTGAGGTTAAATGTTCAAGTCTCGTCGTAGGCATAGATGGAATTAAGATGTATTTTAGAAGTAGATAGGTTATATTATATTTTCTGTTCAAAAAAGAAAAAGAAAAAAAAAACTTAAAAATAATGCAAATGATTTAGGATGTTATTTCATTTTGCTACCTCATATTTCCAACCATTAGACTTTTTTAATCCAGCCTGTCTCATTCAATTTAACGAGTACTTGATGTGCATTAATGATCTTATTTTGATTGTATGTTATTCATGCAGGCAAGCTCCAATCTAATGTGCGTTGTACAGATTAGAAGTTGGATTCTCTAACTATAGGACCACATGATTGATCGGTTATATCTATGACGAACATGAGAGAGAGATTTATTACTTCTTGTTATAAAAGGCTATTTCGTACAATACATTAGGATTACAATAAATGAGACTATTTATAGAGTGGTTGAGGGCAAAAAACGTCATGGGCCGAAGTCAGTGCTGGCAAAATTAGGCACAATGCGAGTCAAAACTTGCTCTAAAAGAAATCATGCTATGCTGCTTGAGCATTTGTTGCACGATTAAGGAATGTTAAGGTGGTTGCTGACTTATAAATAACCTACTCCTGCTAACAGGGGCGGAGCTTTAAAGGGCCAGGGGGTCATGGCCCCCTGATTTTGGACCTCCTTAATACTGAGTTTATATATAAAAGATTGGTTTTATTTGTTGACTAACCATTTGGCCCCATGTTCATGATATACGCATTTTTATATATGCATAAATAACTAATTGTAAAATAGAAACACAATTTATACACCAACGTATTTTTGGCCGAGAGACGCATCAATAATCAGAGACAAAAAATTGTAAGCTTACGTTATATTTTTTTTTTTTAAGAATCTTTTCAAATTTCAAATTCGGGCCATAAGATGTTTTTGAAAGTCAAGGGCATAATTATAATTTGACAAATGTTAATTTTGGTTTGAGTAGCATGCAACTGACTGTTAAATCTAAATTCGAGTATAATGAAATGAAATTGTATGTTTTATTGTTATTATCCCTATTGCTCTCAGTTTCTAATTGGAATTCCCCATCTTTTGCAGTGAACTGATTGTGTCACATATAAATAAAAAAAGGTGTGTAATTTATTTGTAATTTTGATTAAATTTTCTTTTTTATCCATTTTCGTGGAATCTCCATTGTAATTAAAGGTGTATATTCTATTTGTAATTTTGATAAAAGTATCCTTTTAATCCATTTTAATATTAGATTTAAGTTCAGTTAATGTTTCAGGCATAAGAAACATGACATGTTTATTGAAGCCTATGGTTACATATGCTAGGTATTTTAAAAAAGAAAAAGAATTTGGCGCATGGCATTTTAGGGAGTAGGGTAACCCCACCATCTTGCTTTACTATGGACATCATTTGTGGATTGAAAGGTCAAAAGCCTTATATAAAAAAGTGTCATCCTAAAAAATAGTGGTTATGTATATCATCATTTATGTTGTTACTCTTAAAATTCGTTTATTTTTATGTAGTTTACATTTGTTTTCATTTCAAAAAAAATAAAATAGACAAATAAACATGATTCGAAGATTGATGTAATTATTGTTTTACCCTTCAAGGATGGTTCAGGGTCACATATTTTGAATGTCATTTTTTTTTTCAGTCTGCAACTGCTGTGGTAGGAGGTGGAATTTTGTGAAAATGGGCTAGCTATGATTATCGGTGATCTGCATATGCTGATTTTCAACATAAGCTTGTTAAGAGGTGATATTTTGAATGAACGACATGCTGCTTGAAGTGTAAGTACGTTTCCATTATCAGTAAATGAATATAAAGATCTTTTTATTATGAGTAAAGAGTAAAGTAGATTGTCTATATTGATAAAAGGAGTAAATCATGTTTTTATTTCTCACAATTTGCCCAATAGGAACTAATATTTAATGTTTGTAATTTATTGTTGAAAACATTATCATAAGTTGAAATGTTTTTTTGGGAAAGGATCCAACGATTCTTTTAGGATGAACTTCAAAATGTTTATTTTACCATTTTCTGTATTTTCTCTAGATTGCACAATAAGATTTTTGTGTTTCTTTTTGCATTTAAACGACTAAACTATTTTATGTTGTTATCAGTATCCTATTTGCTTCAAAAGTCAACATATTTTACTTTTAATTGAGGAACTAATGCATTGTTTTTCGGCTTAAATGTATGATATTTAAAGTTGATTTTAAAATAGACGAGAAATCCTTTCAAATTAAGGAAGTTCGTTGGATGACCATAACCACAAATTACATAAATAAAGGAGATTTAGAGACTGTATTAACGAGCTACAAAAAAAAGTTCAAGTGACTTCAAAGCTAGGAAACAACATTGAACCATCCACAAATTTAATGGTAGCCCTTCACTTGATTGGCGTTGCATTTTTCATCAAGATATGTGTAGTCAAGTAAAGATGGGTAGAGTTAGCATGATCCTTCACTTTCACTGCAAAATCAGTTGATTTTTGTTAATTTTTTTGAAAAATGTTAAGTTTATGATGTTGATCCTATGTGACAAAATGGAACAATTTAAAAAAGTACTTCATGAGACTTTTATATTAGAATCTTAGCATATGTTTGGTTGATCATAATATCTCAATTGTCGCAAACAGGGCTCAAGAGATCTCAACTGGTTTATGTCAACCTAATGTTTAGCATATGTAACTATGTCTAGGCATCTGAACATAGTTAAATTAATTTTCTCACTCCCATTAATTTTAAGACAATATGTATATGGTCATAGCATTTACATATAATTAAGCCATATATGTCCATATGCATATATGATGCATATAGTTGCAATTATGAATATAATCCTGATTTATAAATCATATATGCTTCATTTAAAAATTAGCAAACAAGAAAATTGAATGGATTTTTATTTTCATTTTTATTTTTTGTTTTCATGTTAGTGTTAGGGTTGGATACTTCTAACCTAGCATACACAAAATCTAAAAATTATTGGCAAATGATGACATCAAATGGAATTTGATATTTCTTGTATTTAACCCATGATTTTTAGAAAATTCAACCAATATTTTTTACACAACCTAAAAAGGTATGTACGATTCATTAGAATTGTGTAGAATTGCGTAAATACGGATGGTAGTTTAACTTTGTTACCTAACCATTTTTTATTTTTTATTTTTATTTATTTTTATTTTTATTTTAATTTTTTTGCTTTTTACTATTTTTTAGAAATTTTAAAATACTTGAATTATTCCATTATTTTTAGACAATATGATGTTTTTATATAGTTAACAAAATCAAAGGCATTTTTGTAATTTTTAAAATTAACGACAATTTTACATCTTTATAATAAAGGAAGCTCAATATGCGAAAAAAAAAAGATTAGTGACCATTTCGTTTAAGATGAAAAAGAAGTTACATAACAATAAAATTTAGGCTTTAGTTATGTATTTATGCAAATTTAGGCTTTAGTTATGTATTTATGCGACCTAACAGTTTTTTATTAAGTTATATAAAAAAGTGGGGTTCTTAACAATTTATTCAGTCGTTCTAATTTGCTTTCCGTTTATACCATATAAACATTTTTTTTTATAAAATAAAGATAACATCTTAACATAAATAAATTAATCTCAATAGTAAAAGCTAAATATTTCAACCAACTCACCTACCCCAACATATACGTCTACGATCCAAATATGTCAAAAAAAAAAAAAAAATACCATTTTGCCTTAAAGTCTCCACATTCGCTTCATTTTATTACGTGTTTATATTTTTCGAATATGACATGTTTTCAAAAAGAAAAATGAATGAAAGAAAACTAATGGTCGTCCGCCGATATGCGTGGGTGTCCTACTAGTGTGTGTGTGTGTGTATATATATATATATATATATATATATATATATATATATATATATATATATATATATATATATATATATATATATATATATATATATATATATATATATATCATTTGCATTTAAAGCAAAATCATCTGTTATATAACTAATTTTAAATAACAAACGAAACAAAAATATGTACGAAGTAAATATGAAATAGATACAAGTTATAGGGCCCTTGACGAATTGGTCTTACATCCCAACATAAGATCTTTTTTCTTGCTATATTTTCTTGCTAAATCTTTTTCCTTCTTCGTCGTGATCCGGTGTTCCTGTTGTGATCCTGTGTTCCTCTTCTTCGTCTTCTCTGGTGAGTGGTTTTGTTAATTCCCCATTAAGATCTTTTTTTTTTTTTTTTTTTTTTTTTTTTTTTTTTTTTGCTTTCAAGTTTATGTATTGATGGCTGTAAAGATATTCAGATTTACCGACATTATAATCACGTATGGAAGATATTTCTTTTGAAAGTTTATTAGATAATGTAGTTAATCATAACGACGATCAAACTTTGGTAATTTGAATCTGTTTTGTATACATAGGACATGAGCAATCGGTTCATTGCATTTTAATAAATTTATCGATTGCAAATACCACGAACAAAATTAAATCGAATTGTATCTCGGTTGCAAATACGACAAATCAAATTAAATCCAATATATATATATATATATATATATAATTGCCCTGTGGCTTTCCTTCACAACCAATTACTTTTTCCATTTTCTCTCAGTTTTGAGTAAGTTTGTTAATATAGATGCATGACAATTGGACCTAGATCATGTAACATAACTCTATTATTATTAATTTTTTTTATTGTAAATATATTAATTACTTGTGTTGGAGTTATTCTTGCTCATTAGTAACACCGTCAATCTTAGTTGATGAACATCTGGTGCATCCATTTACAAAAACATGAATATATATATATATATATATATATATATATATATATATATATATATATATATATATATATATATATATATATATATATATATATATATATATTGACAAGAATTCTAAACTTATTCAAACAGAGAAGAATTTTAATTGCACCCTATTACAACTGACTTTTATATTGTTGGAAAAATGCAGATGCCAGATTATGTATGCGAAGAGTTGATTGTTGAAATATTTACAGGACTACCACCGAAATCCCTCCTCCGATTTAGATCACTCTCTAAATCATTATATACTTGTATTTCTAGTCCTGGGTTCATACGCTTGCACACTTTCCGATCCCCACAAAAAATCCGCTTCACGCATGAAAATATTGACAATAATAAAATAGCAGAAGTCGTTTATACATTTTGTGTTTGTGTCCCAAACGTGGATATATTGGTATAACAACCAGAATTCCGTTTCCTTGTAGCAATAAATATTTCAGAACTGTTGGTTCATGTAATGGAACTTTCTGTTTGAAGACTAAAAATGTTTTGACTCTATGGAACCCTTCAATCAGACGCAAAGTAAGAGTGCTTGAATGTCCTCGGAGTTCTGAACTCCCTTTGGGAGGTATTGGGTTTGGATTTGACCCAATCAGTGATGATTACAAAATTGTCTGGATATCATGTGAAAAAGACAGTTCATTTATTTATGCGGTGAAGACGGGAACTTGGTGTGAGATTGCTTCCCCTAAACCTGAGTTTACTTGTGTGTTATATGAGGCTTTTGTATTCAATGGAGTGTTGCATTGGGAAGTATATGATGATCGTATCAAATCACAAGACATATACCCTCCTTCCTATATACTGACATTCGATTTGAGTAATCATGTTTTTGGTATGATTCCATTGCCTGGAACCGTTTGGGAATGGCTAACAACAAGAATAACAACCATCCAAGATTCTCTAGCTTTGATTTCTTATCGTATGGATGTTGATGATACTTGGATTCGGGTATGGAGAGATGCTTCTTGGCATGTGGTTTTTAAATTGGGAACAGGTAAACTTCCGGTTGATGGAGCTTTTCAATTCCAACCACAACCGCAAACAACCAATGAGTGTAATTTGTTGCTCAGAACTTATGGGGAAGGGGTCCAAGTTTATAATCCCAAGACGGGGATGCGATCAAGAGTACCCGACTTCAATGTTGCTTCTAGTTTAATAGCTTTTCGGCAGTGTGTCGAAACACTTCATTTGTTAGACATGGGAGTGACTGCTTGTGAAACCAAACAACTATGAAGAAAAACAATAACATTTTGATTTTTGTCGCATTTTAATTACCATTTTCGTCTTTGTCATTGATACAAAAAAGTTGATATATGCTGTTAGATTCTTTTATTCTATTAATAAAAAAATTAAATATGTAATTTCCGGCTTGTTGGCCAATAAAAGGATTCCTTGGCCCAATGATTTCCAAAGTATAGTGGACATTATATTCTCATTTTGCTACCTGTGTTCTTGTAAATTAGTAGACCAGACAACTTAAATTACATAAATAAATCACATGAATAATAAGACTAAATTGCCCTTTACAAAAATACCACAGATCGGAACCCCCTTGTTTAGATTTATAGCATTCTTCTTCACAAGTAGTCACACAATGAATGAAAAGAAGCAGTGGTGACTGCCTGAGTTCACGAGCAGTTAAGATGCATGGATTGGACTATCCAAGCTCCGGTAATTGTTTTTGAGATGTTATCCAAGCTCCAGCCATGAGACCTTTTGCTTGATTAAGGGTATCGCAATGATTTGTAGTTGTAGGAGCTTCAAAGATTCCTCAAATTTCCTCTCCAACATCAAATTTTATTTTAATTCTTGTAAGAGCATCTACTTTCTTTTTTAAACTTTTTTACTATTTGAATAAATGGAAAAAAAAAAAAAAAAAAGCCCAACGAAAGTTGCCTTTATTAATTTTGTTTCCCAGTTTTAGAGTATGAGTCAAAGTCTTTTTGTTTTAGTATAAATATGTTATTCAGAATCAAGTATTCAGCAATAAAAGTTTATTTTCCAGCAAGTAATCCACAGCTTTCGTTTTTCTTTCTCCCCCTGCTATCTTCTTCACTGTGCTGATTTTTTCTTTCTTCCTTTCTGTTCTGTTTTTCTTACGCTTACGCTTGGTATCAAAGCTCAGAAAAAGCCGATCAATCATTGCCCCACCATGGAAGGACCGAAGATGCAATTATCATATCTTCACCAGAACCATCTATGTTGCACGGGCGATTAAGATGAAGGTGTTCATGCAAGCACAAGAGGTTTCAGATACTATTCAACCTAAGAATCCCTATAACGCGGTTAGTGTAAAAAAGGATAATATGGCTATGGCAGCGATTTACCAAGCCATCCAGGAAGAAATCCTTTTGTCAATAGCAGAGAAGCAAACGACAAAGAAGTATGGGAAACACTCAAGACTATGTATATGGGTGCAGATTGAGTTTGAACGGCAAAAGTTCAGTCACTAAAGGCCAAATTCAAGATTCTTAGCATGAAAGAATCCGAGACGGTTGATGATTTTTCAGCCAAAAAGAAAAACTTCATGAGCAACATCCGGGCATTAGGTGATATCATGGACAAAGTGTACATTGTCAAGAAGATTCTACGAGTCGTGCCCTGAATTGCATCGACGATCAAGCAATTTGATGATCTAGATACAATGATAGTTGAAGAAGTCGTTGGTAGGCTCAAAGCACATAAAGTGTGCATTTAAGTACATCATGAAGTAGACGAGAAGAAATTGCTCTTAATCCATGAAGAATGGTCAGAATGAAACAAGAAGCAATCGAATGGAAGCAATCGAACAGGCAAGAGTCAAAGAACAAACAACAGGGCAATTCAAGCAACCTTGAGGGACGATGAAGAGGTCGTGGAAGAGGAAACTGGAACAATTCAGGTTGTAGAAGAGGTGGAAATCACCGGAATGGAGGACATCATGGGCAAAACCAAACTCAAAACCACGACAAAAGCAAGATTCAATGCTATAATTGCCAAGAATACAAGCATTATGCTTCTAAATGCAAGAACCCACGGAGAGAAAGGAATCAAGAAGGAAATATAATTCGGGAAGTCAATGATGTCGAACCGCTTGGTTACTTGCTGTCGTGAAGAGCGAAGATGATAAAGATGAGATCATGCTAAACGAAGAAAAAGTAAATCCAACCCTAATACATAAGTTTCAGTTACTTGCAGTCGTCAAGAGTGAAGATGATAAAGATGAGATCATGCTAAACGAAGAAAAAGTAAATCCAACCCTAATACATAAGTAATAAGTATACCATCAGTTACTTGCAGTCGTCAAGAGTGAAGATGATAAAGATGAGATCATGTTAAACGAAGAAAAAGTAAATCCAACCCTAATACATAAGTAATAAGTATACCATCAGTTACTTGCAGTCGTCAAGAGTGAAGATGATAAAGATGAGATCATGTTAAACGAAGAAAAAGTAAATCCAACCCTAATACATAAGTAATAAGTATACCATCAGTTACTTGCAGTCGTAAAGAGTGAAGATGATAAAGATGAGATCATGCTAAACGAAGAAAAAGTAAATCCAACCCTAATACATAAGTAATAAGTATACCATCAATTACTTGCAGTCGTCAAGAGTGAAGACGATAAAGATGAGATCATGCTAAACGAAGAAAAAGTAAATCCAACCCTAATACATAAGTAATAAGTATACCATCAGTTACTTGCAGTCGTCAAGAATGAAGATGATAAAGATGAGATCATGCTAAACGAAGAAAAAGTACATCCAACCTTAAGACATAAGTAATAAGTATCCCATCAGTTAAAAGTATGATGCATTGACAATGGAGCTACCAACCACATGACGGGTGAAAGTGGTAAATTTCGAAAACTTGATACCAGTTTTGTCAAATTTAGGGATGGGTCTAGAGTTCGAATAGAAGGAAGGGTTCTATCATTTTTAAATGAAAGAATGGTGAACATCGAGAACTTAAGGAAGTATACTAAATACCATGACTTTGTAACAACATTATTAGCTTAGGATAGTTGGCTCAAAATGGTGACATAATTGTTATGTATGGTACTTACCTTTGGGTTTACCATGAAAAGAGAAGATTATTAATGAAAGTCTTGCAATCCAAAAAGCGCTTGTACAAAATCACGCTTGAAGAAGATACCATGTGTCTACTTGGCGAAATGATAGAACCAACATGGTTATGCAATAATCACTTAGGACTTGTAAGTTTTGTGGTCCTTAAACATATGTCTAATGCAAATATTATGGGAGGATTACCCAATATCGATAACCCCACCAGCCTTTGTGAAGGATGTTTGGATGGAAAACAAACACAGAAACCATACCCCACGCAAACAACCTTTGAGAAAAAGGAGACGTGAACTCATGCATAGTGATCTTTGTGGTCCCATCACTCCACCTACATGAACCGGAAATAGGTACTTCATGTTGCTAGTTGATGGTTGTACAAGAGTTATGTGAGTGTATTTAATGAAGAGTAAAGATGAGGCCTTGCAAGTATTTAAAGAATTTAAAGTTAAAGTCGAGGTGGAGTGTAACATCCCAAAATACGATCCAAAAATTTTTGTTTAATCATGACTAAATCATTATATCAATATCATAAAATAAAAACCCATACGTCAATATCTCAAAACCATAATAAAGTATCATGAGAAAACTGTATCAAGACTGTATCAAATCATATCTACAAAAAGCTTAATCGACTCCCAGGACAAAAACTGGAGCGGTGGTGTATGCGATGCCATCATCCCGAGCTCTTCCCTTTACTTGGGAAGTACCTGAAACCAAAAAATCTACTTTTTTTTAAAGTTTTTTACAAATTGAATAAATGGAAAAACATTGTTGATGCAGGCGTAATTTAGGGAAAAGCCCACAGAGGCATTTTAGGAAAGTTGCCTTTATTAATTTTGGTTCCCGGTTTTAGAGTATGAGTCAAAGTCTTTTTGTTTTAGTATAAATATGTTATTAAGTATTCAGCAATAAATGTTTCTTTTCAAGCAACTAATTCACAGCTGTCGTTTTTCTTTCTCCCCCTGTTACTTCTTCACTGTGCTGATTTTTTCTTTCATCCTTTCTGTTCTGTTTTTTCTTAAGCACCAAGGTATCATCCGATAGATACGTTACACTTGGTATCATAGCTCAAAAAAATCCGATCGATCATGGCCCCACCATGGAAGGACGGAAGATGCAAGTATGCAATATCATGTCTTGACCTGAACCATCTAGTTGCCTGGGTGATTTAGTAGAAGGTGTTCATTCAAGCACAAGAGGTTTCAGATACTAGTGAACCTTAGAATCCCCATAAAGCGGTTGGTGTCAAGAAGGATAATATGGCTATGGAAGCGATTTACCAAGCCATCCCGAAAGAAATCCTTTTGTCCATAGAGGAGAAGCAAACAGCAAAAAAAAGTATGGGAAACACTCAAGACTATGTATATGGGTGCAGATCGAGTTCAAACACCAAAGGTTCAGTCACTAAAGGCTAAATTCGAGATTCTTAGCATGAAAGAATCTGAGACGGTTGATGATTTTTCAGCAAAAAAAGCAACATCGTGAGAAACATCTGGGCATTAGGTGATATCATGAACGAAGTGTACGTGGTCAAGAAGATTCTACGAGTCGTGCCCTTTAAGTTTGTTCAAATTGCATCGACAGTCAAGCAAATTGATGATCTAGATACAATGATAGTTGAAGAAGTCGTTGGTAGGCTCAAAGCACATGAAATGCACATTCAGGTACATCAAGAAGTAGACGAAAAGAAATTGCTCTTAATCCATGAAGAATGGTCCGAAAGAAACAAGAAGCAATCGAACGGGCAAGAGTCAAAGAACAAACAATGGGGTAATTCAAGCAACCGTGAGGGATGAGGAAGAGGTCGTGGAAGAGGAAACTAGAATTCAGGTTGTGGAATAGGTAGAAATCACTAGAATAGGGAGGACATCATGGGAAGCACCAAACTCAAATCCATGAAAAAATCAAGATTCAACGCTATAATTGCCAAGAATACGGGCATTACGCTTCTAAATGCAAGAACCCGCAGAGAAAAAGGAATCAAGAAGCAAATATAATTCGGGGAGTCAATGATGTTGAATCGGCCTCGTTACTTGCAGTTGTGAAGAGTGAAGATGATAAAGATGAGATCATGCTAAATGAAGAAAAAGTAAATCCAACCCTAAAACATAAGTAATAAGTATCCCATCAGTCAAAAGTATGGTGCCTTGACAATGGAGCTAACAACCA